TCATAACATAGTGGATGCTGCTTGTTCCCAAGCTTATTTACTGAGCTGATGATATTTGTTGAGTCCAGTCAGGTACAAACGGTACCTGGAAATTATCCAGGAGTCATAAATGTGGAAATTAAATTGCAACACCACTCTTCGAAGTGCTCAGGTCAAAAATCGAGGCATCATCCTTGCCTCTTCTCCTTCTGATACCCGCCATACTGTCAGCAAATCCTCTTGGCTCTACCATTAAAATATAATCCAGAATCTGACCCTTGATCACCACAACCACTACTTTTAATCATTCCAGTTTAAGCCACCAACTCCTTGCTGGATAATTGCACTAGCCTCTTAACTGTAGAGAGAATTGTGAGTAAAGGTAAAAATGGCAGTAAAAGACTGCTACCATATCTCTACTTTCCTTTACATTTTGGGGCAGGCTGTGTCTACATTTCTGTCAGAATATTTGATCGCAAGAAACAGAAACCCATTCAAATTTGTTTACACAAAGGAAAAAAGAAAGTGCAGACAGATTTCGCAAGGAATAAGGACTAGGAACTGGAAAGTCAGGAATGGAGAGTCTACTGTCCACATCTCTTGAGTCACTTCTCGGTAGCTTGTGTGTCTGCTCCCTTCTCCGGTGTTCCGCCTAAGTGTGGGAACTCTAAGCTTCAATCCAGAGCTCTCCATGACTTCCTAATTAGCATCTTTATAATTCAATTCCGAATTCCCAGAAGAAGAAAATCTTTTGGCTTGGCTTACTTCTGCTGTCTGCCTTTGATCCAGTCAATGTGGACCAGGACACTTGGTCACCTGACCAAAACACGGTTGCCTAGGCCCAGTAATTCAGCAGGGCCTTGGGGACGCATTCAGAAAAGGGGGCCTGAACTAGGCAAACTAACTAATTAACATCTCTGCTGCAATTTACGAATAATTTAAATTCAATATTCTGTTAAGTGGTGCAGTGAATCAATTATTGACACGCAGGCATCCTTTGGGACTCAGTAAACTGAAATTAAGTCAATATAAACGAATGCTAGCAGGTGGGATAGGTTTGCTCTACCTTCCAGAAAGTTTTTACCACAACATAACTTCTCATTAAAATATTTATTTTCAGTTTCTACTTTATTTCTCTCCATAAAAGGAATGTTTTATTTATTCCTTTATTCTATTTGTTTATTTTATTTATTCCAGCTGCCCCTATGAGACCAATAACAGAGGCTTTGTTAGCCCGGTAGCCTTTAAACAAGATAATGAGGAATGGCATATTCAGGAATGTTATGAATTCTCCGTCTTGGGCATTCCATGATGAATAATTTAATGGGCTGTCTTTGTTTTTGTATGTTGAATCTTTCTTTTTTTTTTTTTGCCTTTTTATTTTCATTGTATTAACTGAGTATTGGTTAGAGCTGTCTTGACTCAGCTAAATGTAATATAGTTGTCTATAATTTGTCAGTGGAATATACTATTACATCATCACCTCCTGGTCCATTCTTCAATAAGCAGGTAAGAAAGATTTCCATTTGGGAGAATGTCGCTTGCCCAAAGGCAAAAAGCTATTGAATTGCTTGGATTCCACACACTAATTCATTCATTAAAACAAAACAAAAACATAAATAAAACTTTGTCGAGAGATTATTATGGGTAAAACTCTCTGCTCTGCGCTTAATTTTAAAATGAATAATATAAATTATTAAATTTCTAAACAGTTTATTCTAAACTTAAAATTTCTAATTAATTTCAATGTAAAATCTTAAAATTTCTAAGAGGGCTGGCCCAGTGGCATAGCAGTTAAGTTCGTTCATTCCACTTCCGTGGCCTGGGGTTCGCCAGTTCGGATCCTGGCCACGCACATAACTCACCGCTCATCAAGCCATTCTGAAGCAGTGTCCCACATAGAAGAGCTACAACTCTACAACTATGATACACAACTATGTACTGGGGCTTTGGGGAGAAAAGAAAAAGAGGAAGATTGGTAACAGATGTTAGCTCAGGGCCAATCTTCCTCAAAAAAAAAAAATCTTAAAATTTCTATCAATTTAAAAAATCAATTGATCGGTTTAAACTGACAAGAAATATTATGAGTTTGAGGACCCATTATTTTATCTTTGCTATCACAAAGGTAGATATTTGGGGTCATTGTTGTTTTTTACCTACAGAATTCTGGATATGTCCTGGCCTCCCTGAGCTTGGAGAGGATGGATTGCAAGTTCACAGGGCTAACCTGCATTAGCAGATATGCTCCAAATTCATCTTAAATTCCACATGGTCTCTATGAACCAAAGTTTTGGTAATGCCAGGATGAGTTCATAATCCGATGACAGGGGTGAGGTACGAAAATCAAAACAAAAATTGTAAAGTCAAAAATGAGTGACTGGCTTAAATTGCTGATCTCTTGAAGTCTTTTTCACTTCAAGGACCCTGACAGTAGAACGGAAAAAATGACATTTTTGAGTATCTACAGAGTGCTAATCAATGTAGTGTGAATTTCACATTTTTTTTTTCAGTTTATCCTCACAAAACCCTAGGAAGAAGGTAGTATCAATTTCATTTTACACATGAGGAATCTGACGGTTAGGAAAAGTAAGGAATTTGCCCAAGGTTGCACATATTACTGAGGCCTGGAATGAAATTCATGTCTTGCAGACAACAGAGCCCAAGATTTTCCCCCTACACCATAAGCCCTCTCAGCAAGAAGTTGTTCTTTCTCCGAAGAGTTTTATAATACAATGATGAAAAATTACCCAAAGATTTACTTTCAACCTAGATGAAAAGGTAGATCATAAAATTCTATGCGGAAGTGATCTGTTTTGCAATTCCCCCCGTGCAGGCAGTTGTAGTGTTAAAAAGCTCTCCAGGTAATTCTGATTACTTCCCCACCTGCCTTCCAATGCCCTTCTCTGTCCTCTTCACCTGGTCAGTTCCTACTCATCTGGACCCAACTATGGTATCACCATTTCCAGGCCTTCTTTGGCCGGTTAAATTACCCTCTACCAGTCCTCCTTGTGCATGATTCCATCAATGAACTCATCACATTGTTTTACAACGACTTCTTTATGTGACGTTTGCCTCCTTTACACTGTGGTGAGCTTGTTAGAGGCAAGAACTGCATTTTTGCATCTTCAATACCCAGCACAATGTCTCACCCTCACTAAAATGTGTTTCACAGAACTAAGTAAACAGAAATTTCAGCGCCCTTCGGAAATAGCTTAAGAAAAATCCCCAAATTTGTTTTATTGTTCGTTGCCCCCAGTGTGTTAACTAAGTCAATAAACATTAAACCACAAAATTTTTATAGGTTCCAAGTCTAAGACACCGCCTCTGGGCGCGGAAGCGCCACGGAAAACTACATTTCCCGAAATCCCTGAGCACCGGTCGTAGTTGATTTGCTGATTGTTCTTGAATGCCTGTCACATCAACCAATACCGGAGGAATCTCCCCGGCAGGGGCAGGAGGCGGCCAATCACAAAGAGGAGGGCGGGCACTTCGGATTTCGGTTCGGGAAAGCCCTTGGTAGCTGCTCTGCGGCTCAGCCGGGACCGTCAGGGTAGGGAAGTGGTTCGCTCGGGATGGGGTTGTCCGTCCCTACCCCCACTCCACAAATCAGAATTCGTCTTTATCCTTCCTTAACGTGTTTCCTAGTTTCCCATCTTCCATCAGGCACCTCTGCTGGCCCCTCTCCCTGTGGAAGCCCCTCTCCGGGAGGGTGGCCGCAGCCCGCATCTCTCTCGACCTTTCCAAACTTGGGCCGGATCTTTGTCCCTAAGCATCCCAGGCAGACGGTGTCGGGGAGGCGGCGGCAAGGCCTGAGCAGAAACCTCCTCCCTCCGTCCCCTCGCCAGGGCGGAGACGGCCCTGGGGACTCCGCGGATGACCAGCCCTGCAGGGCGGACGGGGGTCTGAAGGCGAGCGGCCGCGCGCGCGGGCCGGATCCGGGCTGGCGTGTCGCCGGCCGGGGCGGACACCCGGCCCCGGAGCGGCTCCCGGGGGGCAGCCTCGGCTGTCCCGGCAGCTCCCCGCCCCGGCCGCGCTTTGCCCGTCCCTGGAGGAGCAGCTTCAGGAAAGCACTCAGCCCCCCGGAGGTGCCTGTCCCTTCCTAGTACCGGGAAGCGCGCCACCCTGTTGCCACCGGCACAACCGTGGTCTAGACGCTGTCTTTCCAAACCCAGTACCCCCCGCACCAGGCCCACCAGGAAAGCAACAGGCCCCCCGCTGCAGCCCGCAGGGGGGCGCGCGGAGACCCCGCTGTCCGGACGGCGTGTGCAGCCAGGCTGTCCCGCTGCTTTGGGCCGTCTACACCGCTCCTGTCCCAGCGGCGGGCGCAGCGGCTGCACACCCCGGGCGATCGGGGTGGGACACGGCGCAGCCCCGGGGCTCCCGCAGGGAGGAGCAGCCCCGGCCGCCCTCCGCGCAGGGC